TAAACTAATTGATTTTGCATTTCCAAGGAGCTGATCGGTTAACGGTTTCATAAGGGATGCGCATTTGGGTATGAACCGTCTGTAGAAACTTACAGGTCCGTTAAAAGTTCGCAACTGCTTGACCGTGGTCGGTTCTGGGTAATCCAGAATGGCCGCCACTTTGCTTCTAAGGGGTCGGATGCCTTGGGCATCAATAGTGTGTCCTAAGAAGTCTAAGAAGTTGGTTCCGATTCGGCATTTCTGAATGTTGACAGTAATGCCATGCCTTTGGAGTCGATCGAAAACAATGTCCAGATGCTGGAGATGTGATTCTCTGTCTGGACTTGCTATTAGACAGTCATCAACATACGCATGTGCGAAGTTGAGACCTCGGAAGACGTCGTCTATAAACCTTTGGAAGGTTTGAGCCGCATTCCTTAAACCAAAAGGCATTCGCAAGAATTCGTAAAGACCGAAAGGAGTGATGATGGCTGTCGTAGGAACGTCGTCAGGTGTCATCGGTATTTGGTTATAAGCCTTAACCTCGTTCGATCAATAAATCACCGCTCTCTAATTGGCGGCATTATCACGTTCTGCATTAACATGGTATCCACTCAGCCACCAGTTATAACATTTTGGAATTTTTGGCTTAGGTTACATCGAAAATTTGTGCCCAACTGACTCTATTCGATCAGTTGCTTGCTTCTATCCTTAACGGATAAAACTCGTACTTTTCAAAATTTTAAAGAAGACGTTTTAGTGGTGTTGGTTCTGCAGATGCTGTCGAGTCGCGATTGACTATGATCACCACTACAGGAAGATTACGTGTCAGGTATCGACGTGAATCCCTTGGTGAACCGAAAACAAGAAGGCTGTTAATGGATGGAATAAGATATATTTGTTGGCGATCTCGTGGTATCGAAAGGATACAGAGGCGTGTCAAATTTTACAAGCTGAACTACCAAGCGTATGTGAGTTCAAGAAACGTCACAGGTAACGGAATAAAGTATGCGTTTTCGGGACAGTTAAACAAACAAGTACAGTAAAACTATCACTGGCACAATTGGCTATAATACTAGTTTTCCACTTTACCAATCCTGTTCTCTGCATAAAAGTAGGTCAGTACACACTCCACAACCTGAAGCACTTCAATTAAGGGATGACTGACTTCAGGCAAGCCACTTGAGGTCGTTAGAAAGTAAAAGCAGTAGTTTCAATTCCAAGCTAGTTTTTATTATGTGCCCATCTCAGCTAACTGGGCAGTTTATTTAAGCAAATCCGGTAGCATTTGAAACTTCTCGATCTTGCCCGTAGACTGGCGTACCAAGTGCAACCTATAGTTTTTAAAGAATAAATTATCCTTATTATTACCATCAAGCAACTCGGATGTTTCTGACATATCCTTCCTAGACAAAAGATTCCGGACTGTTTACCGATACCAGGGAGCCTCTAGAGAGGTTTATCTTGTGTATAAACGTGGCTCATTGTACTTGATGAGTGCCCAGCTGCCAAACTTTGGGGTGGGACCACGCTTTCGCTAACCAAGCAGAATAAACTTATGGCTCATTAATCTTATATCCTCTTTGGCGAGGATATTATCGACCAGCGAGTATAGTTTTCTTATATTTGTCCAAAACATTTGGTAAAGTTAATTTTCGTATTCTTTGTCAGAGAACTGAAATTCGAGGATATTAGTGGACGTCCTACATAGGGGCTCTAAAACCACAATTCGTTAGGATTTTCTGTGTTTTACGCAACTGATTTATGATGGGAATAAAATCTCCACAAGGCTTAATCCTCGAGACACTCTTCTTATTGTTCGTTAGCGACCTACCTTGTAGCCTAGATAACTCGAAAATCTGGAGTTTCTTGCGCGAATATCTTGACTTTTCAAAACACTTGCACAGGGCTTCATCATAGATGAAGTCATTTCAGTGTTATTGACCAGTCTGAGAGTATACAAACGTCATAAAACGGCGTCCATCTGTCTACTTTGATTGACCTTGTCTGTACCAGGCTTGGTTATTAAGTATTAGGATTTTCACGGCTTATGCTGAGAGGTGAGAAGAATGCTTTATAAATTATTTGTTCTTATTATCATCATAGCTGTAGATTTCCAGCCGATTTTGCACTGTGGACACAGTTAATGTTTACTTATACTTGACTAGTTGTCGTCACACTGAATTCTACCTCGTTCAGTTCCAATGTTCTTGAATCAGCAGATACGATAAGAGTCATGTAATCCATCTTATATGACTCACATATCTGCCGTTTATAGCCCGTTTGCTACACATACGATCTACTCATTCAAGCCTGTTACCCCTAATATAGCATAGGAAGCCATCGACGAATCTCCAAGGAACTCTTTCCTGAACTATCCCTTGTCGTTGTTGCCAGTTCCTATTCATGGTCTTAGTATTTACCTCCAATTCTTGGTATTATGGGTTTTTTGGTTTGGCTCTTTTCCGTCCGCCTTAAGGATTCCAAGTTTAGGGTTTTTGTGATGTAGTTTGCTTATTTCTACAAATTTGATCCATCCACTCCAGAAACTTTTCCTAATTTACTTCTCAAGTGGCAGTTGATTTTGTTCTCTATTACATTAAATTATTACTGATAGTGTCTGACCGACGGATCTGGAGTATCTTGAGTAGACAGCTATTTATAAATATCTGTACTTTTGGTGTGTGTTTGTGGTTGTCCTCCACTTTCATTTCCATACAACGGAACCGTTCTAACGTTAGTTTTGAAAATTCTGACTTTGGTTATGAGTGACGGTTCCTTTTAGTTGTAGGAATGGTGCTCTCGTATAGCCAGTCTGTCTTCACACCCATATCAAGTCCATCTTGTTTATTAAAGATGGTGTTTAGGCACGTAAGACTTTCGACTCCTTCCAGACATTTCTCATCAAGTGTGGTTTGGTTGGTTCGTGTTATGCCATACTTTAGGCTGAAGATAGAAAAATATATTTAATATGAATAAAAGAGATAAGGTACATAAGAATGACCACATCTGCAAGGCTGAACCCTGCCATCAGATTTGTTGAATTTCGAATGAATATTCCCACCTTCTCCATTGTTGGCCTTCTCTTCGTGTTAACTGTTGAATATGCATTTTCCCAGTTACCTCATGTTCAGTTTTGAGGATTGTGTGATTAGGACCAATACCACTACAGGTTTAGTGAGGCTGTTTTATTTTAAAGGTCTTCAAATTTCCCCATCCATCTGTTCCACTATTCTTGACCGGTCGCCTTGGTTTGTGTTATTTCTCCGTTAGTTTCTTAATTGTGTCGTATAGTTGTCTCACATTTCCTTCTCCTGCAGTTCTTTCTGCTGTCTTTGCTAGATCTTTCACATGTTTCCAGCTGTAGTGCTGCTTTTCACTCTGTTGTTTGTTTCTGTGTATTTGGCCTGTGCCTTGGCTTTTCTCGCTTTTGTTTGGATGTTGTCGATTGTTGTCTACTTGTTCTTTCTTTCCTGAATCTTGCTCGGGGTATTAATAGAGATTTACTCTTCATGCTGATGCCTGCTGCGGTCCAAAGTATTCTGCAACGGTAAAGCTATTGCTTCTTCCATTCCTTTCCGGATGATGTCAACAGTGATTTCGTTTTCTGGTAGATCTCGTAAGACTTGGAATTAGTTACTGATAGTTGCCTTGAATTGAGTTCATTAACATTTCAGGAAATACTGTATTGATTCTGCTTTCTCAGTTGTCCAACGCCTAGATAGCTTCACTCTAAGCCTGTCCTCTATGAGGTAGTGATGTAAAGCTATGTCAGATCCTCTCTTTACGCTTACGTCTCCAATGGACCCTATGAAATTTAGTTATGCTGACTCACATTGCCTTCCATAGTGCAGTCCGAGGAAACCCATCTACCTTTGTGCTTGTTCTTTAGAAGGGAACTGCTACAGTGCATGGTCACATTGCTGATTGCACGTAAGTTATTCATCCCCCTCATGATTGTCGTTCCTTTCTCGCAGTTCATTTGCTACATGATGCGTCCGTACCTGAAGTTGCTCAGACCCTGACATTTAGTTCTCTAATCAGGATGGTCTGGTGTTCTTCTGGCTGTTTCTCTACGATGAATTACTTATTTGAACCCCTTACCCCTTTGTTTCGAAGGATGCTTTGATGATTCTAGATCAGTGAGATTCCTATTCTTTAAGTGGTTTCCGTGCTTCTTTGGACAACATCAGTGCAACTTATTGTATGCACGAAGCACTTCCTTTTACATGAGCAGAGTACAATAACACCTATCTCGAAGCTAATCTTTTCCGTCCAGGTTGAATCCAATGAGTTTCACTTTCTCCAAGCACCTCCTGGTTGAATCTCTTCATTTCTCTCGGCCTTCCACATTGTCCGGTCATTCCATGTACCTAATGTTTGCTCTCGCTGTTGAAGAGGGTATCGGCTTCGAGATTTCTGAAGGATCTCGGCCTTCACTATGAGGGGCCACAAATCTTCTAGATGAAGGTCTTCCAACTCCCAGAACAGAGCTTAAGTGGCCTTTCCTGATTAGAGTTTTTTGAAAGGTTGTTTTATACGGGATGGGGTTGCTGACCTCATGCTCAATTTTCCTACTTTGTACGGAATTACGACCTCTAGTAACCCTAGGAGGGTTCCAGGCAAGGCTGTGACGTGATATGACAGTAATAAAACCATCAGGTACAATGTTGATAACATAGGCTTGGAAATGCGCTGGGAATAGGATAGCAAGGTTTGCGTGAATTTTACTTCGGAGGTGATGTATAAAACTGTTTTGCAAAGACTTTCCTTTTGTGCCCTGTAACCACGTTGTTTAGTTTTCGAAAGTGTAACTCGTTGGATGACACTTCATATTCTGCCTCATAGAGTACTTGCTAGTCGTTGGTTATGTGATGATGATGAAAAATAACAATAGTAATAATAAACCAAAGTTTTATTAAACGGGAAAATGCATAAGACTGATAAGATCAGCTTTAAAGCTCATCGGAAATCAAATACATAAAAGGGCATAGTAAAACTATAAATACCAGAGAACTAGTTCACCTGGACTTTTTACGATGACCACGATAATCACTAGATGCATCAGGATTTCTTTGGTGAGCTCTTCTGTTTGAATGTCGTGAACGATGAGGAGATTTAGAATGTGAACGACGAGCACTATTATTATAAAGAGAAGTACAGGTTAAGATTTGAACTATACTTTTTTATGTACAGTGACTGATTAAAAGATTTATATGTAAAGTATAGCCATGAAGCAGGAAGTGAAAGTTTGATCGCTTCAACTAAAATTGAACAGAACTAGTTACTAACTTCAGTGGCCTCTTGAAATAATTTTCTATGATGCATCCTCTAGAAATAAATCTCGGAAAAATAAGTATGTTAAATACCCTCACAAACCCTAGCCATCTTGGCAACAAGTACTTTTCCTTCAAAAGCAAAGAAAAGCCTGTTAAAATAATCTAGTGAAGCAAATCTCTTAATTCTAGTCGCTGACTACATCCTAGGTTCCATTCGAGTTTGATAAAGCCCCCAAATGCCCTTGTACGGCCGAGAGTGGGGAGAGTCAGCTCTCCCACTCAAAATGCTCTCACATGGCCACGCGTATATAGCCCCCTTCCAGGAAAATCCTACTCACTGCCTTCTCGTGGCGGGGGTGTTGTTTACGAAATTGAGAAGATGAAAAGCGAATGTTCGGCGCTTTAACCGGGTTGGTGGACACGGAAAGTTCACCTACGGAAGTTGAAAAACCATCATTCCACACCAATGGTGCACACGGGTTACATGATCTGGAATAAGCAAATGGCATATGAACCAATCGTTGGCCACCGGATATTACGGAACTGCATCTCCTTACGTTGCTCCACTGCCTTGCGGATTAAACCTTTGGGTCAAAGGCTCCGGGCGTGGCCCCCAAGAAAAGCACCTGCTTCGATTTGGGCACCCAGACAGTGTTCCAGCCCCCACACAAACCGAATGATTTATGTGGGGCATATCTATTTGGTGCTTCCTCGCAGCAATGTTTATGTGTTTAGATAAATAATAAATAAATATGCAATATTTCCTTTATATATTACTACCATTGAAATAACTGCTTCTATGAATTTGGTGTTTATCCTGTTGTGCTAATGAGGTGTGGCAATTTGGACCGATGCATATATGTGCCTGGTCCTACGTTGAGGCTGACTGACTGACTAATTCATGTGTTGAGGTCACTGTTTACGAAAATGGTAGATATCAATGGGACAATATAACACAAGTAGATCCAAACAAGCAAATAAGGAGACTACTAACCGTCTATCTTCACTTTTCTTTTCGTCACATGGCTTTGACTTGGATAAGGATGCTCTAAGAAAATATTTTTTATAAACATGAAAACTTACTCTTTAGCACCGGATAACAATAATTCTAAGTCTTTAATCATAGCCAAAGCTTCAACATCATCTACACAATTATTTTTATCATTGATGTCATTATTATTATGGGATTCCTCTTCCAGTTCATCAGGATGAACGAATTTGTTACGAATCCCGTCCTTTTTACCATTATCACCGCATGGTTCTACATTTTCAGATTCTAAATTTAATCGCTGGATGGAAAATAAACAAGACATTAATGAGGGTGATAAAACCGATTACCTCATCGTTTGGATCTTTATTTGGCATACACAACGCAGGTAAAAGTCGCTTTCTTAATTCTAGTTTGTTTTTGACAACATCTACCTCTGAATCTTTCTTGTTGGATGAAGATGTTAGTGTCTTCTTTTTAATAACTTTTTCCTTCTTGGGGAGCATTTTCTCAACTAGACGTAAAATACTGGCTATTAATGGGTCCTGTGGACAAGAAAACATAAGTATTGAAGGTAATCTAATAGATGCCCTTACTGTAAACTCTGCGCCTTTCCTTTCCAAAGCACTTTTGAATTTTTCAAACGTTGGATTTTTCTTAGCCAAATGAATAACAAATTCAGCTGTGAAAGAGTTGATGTGATCAAATAAATCCAAACAACCAACTTACCCAGGACTTTATCATCTAAACCCAAGTGATTTGTTAATTCTGTGCATACTTTTGAAACTAAAGAGAAGTATTCCAGTTGGCGAAAACCAGAATCGTCTGATTCGACAACCATGATGGCGTCTGAATAACTAGACTGTGAAGTAGAAGTAGGAAATCCACTTGATAAAATCTGGGATAAAACTAAGGTAATCTGCACTAGTCACAGAGCTTAAACAAACATGAAGAGATCTTACTAGGTCTTTGACTCGCCAGTTTAAATATGTGACCCCATGCAAGATAAACATTACTTTTTAAAGTATAAAATTGGGCTACATTAACTCCTTACTACCTAATGGGGTTGTGGACCAGATCATTTATGCAATGATTAAATCTAACACAAAAATTACCTATATAGTAGTAAGAGCTCATCAAAAATCCCTTAGTAGCCAATAAACTACATATCAACTGATGAATAATTTTTTTCCTAGGTAAGGTAGCTTTGACCTAACTGAAGAGATACATGGTTAGTCTAATGAAATATTACAAGAGATATAACTTTTATCAGATAGCTCTACATATTTTATAATAAATAAATAAATATTCGCTCTCCAGATCGAGGCTGATATGAAGAGACTTTTCCTAATCTAAAAACGGTATAAATGAAGGAAAAAGTGTCGATGCCACTAAAATTAGGATAAGTGAATTGGACCGCAAAAATCCTACATAAACAGTTGTTTCAAGCACATAACAACAAAGACCCTCCCAAAATGAGTATCGAAACAGACTATATTAGCCTCTGTGTAACAAACCAAGGTCGAAATGTCAGTAGCAAGAGAACCTCAGCAGTAAAATCAGACCATGTTTGTTGAGTCTGGTTATCAGGGAAATAAAGTGGAAAATGATCAGTGACCTCTGTCACCGGTATAAACTAATTCAGGTTTCGTTTACTTCATGTAACCGACAAGTAAGCTGATGCCTAGTTTTAGTTTGAAAAAAATTCCTAGACCTTGGTTTGATTTTACCTTGCAATTTTTTGAAAATAAACAGTTGAATTCTACATTGCGCTTAAGACATCAACAGTCCCAGTAAAGTTGTGAACAAAATTGCTTCACCTCAGATTTCGAGCCCGAAAATAGAAAATTGTGATCTTTTTTTGAGAAACAGTTATGCTTTTCCCCCATCTTTACGATCGTTCGGTTTAGTCGGACAGCGCACAAACGACTGTCTACTGGGATCCAGTCCAAACGAGCTAGTTCTGCCCTAGAACTCAATGTTATAACTACGCCAGCAAAGCCACGGAAAACAGCATCAGGACTTTCAGATACACGAAGAGTGAATCAAGTTGGTTCTTTATTTTGACATGGTGAGGTCAAATGAATGACGCTACTCGGATCCTGGATGCGCGTTTCGGAGACACAGCACACATCGATGGTGCGAGATTCTAAAGTCCTAGCTAAGGAAGCCTGTTGTCCTATTTGACAATGTTCGGACGTTAAAAGTTCCTATATGTAGTTTAGAGCGTGGTTTCAGGAGACCAGGAATAACGTTCCGTGTACACGAATCGTTTGCCCTAGCGGTGCGAGGTGATAAAGGGACGTGAGAAGGGTTAGCCGTGGAGATAAGATAAATATTCGGGGGTGTAGGAAGGATTTGAATGTGACCAACTTCGTCTCGTGTGCTGTTACAGGTATGAGAGCTAATATCACTCCCCGGCTCCCCATACCGTGGAAGGGTATTTCTTTAGGAACCTGAAAATGAAGTTAAATTAATGCTGGTCTTAACGACCTGAGAGCGTGACCGCAGAGTCCAAGAGACAACTGTTTGAGGCCCGTCACGCAAGGCCTTTTTGTGGGGGTTTTTCGATGTGTTAACTCCGTTCTTCAAAGGACCTTACCGCCGGATGCGCAATCACCGTAAAAAGAGAGCACCTGACAAGTCCTAGTTAAATTTTGCGGCTATCAGTAGAATTTCTGGGGTTGCAAACTGTCTGAAATCCAGTCTATTTACAACCAAAATGCATCTTTATTTTATGACTGAAGCTTGGTGAAGTTCAGTGGAGGCTGGTCCAAAACGTTTGCTGACAATGTTAAACCACTTAGTCCCTAGAAATACATGGCCACTATACATCGGGTAAAGAACAAGAAGGAAGGTGGATCGAGTTTCTCCTCCAAGACCATTCATAAGATACGATCCCACTGAAATGTTGGTTCAAACTATCTGGAACATTCGTCCATATTAGTAAAAATTATGACGGGCAATAAGCTTTAAGATATCTGTATGCTACAAAGATTGGCATAATCACCCACGACACAACCTTCAAATGGCTGCCTTTGCCTTGTCCTTGCAGCAATGAATCAAGTAGAGCGAATGTTGACTGTCATTACTGACTCTTGATGCGACAGGTCTCAAGCTGTCTTACGAACTTTCAGTACTCTTTTGATTGTTCATCAAAATATCTTAATTCAACCTTCGGTAATTCTACACCTACCACAGGAACTATAGGCATTACACTCTGTTCTGATACCTTAAGTCTTTGCTTCTTATCTAAACTAAAACTTTTTACTTCGTCTGCCATTGAATCACAACTAGACACTATCATAATAATCATATTCGGTCGGACAACGGTAGAATGTGAATGTTTCTGGCCTCCGACAGCTACGTTTCACGGTCAGGCATCAAAATAGAATAAAATGAAAGGTGACAAACTCCTCATCTGAAAAATAATCGAACATCTGCTCTATGTTACAAGGAATACATATCTGTGAGAATTGTCGAATGTTGATTTATTCTGAGACTTTGAGAAACTTGGAAGACAGTGCCAGGAATTCCTGGTACTGTTCTTGGTATTACTCACAAAAGAGCAACATGGGAGTTTATTTTTCGTACAGAACATATACGGATGTTGAGCTTCCAATTGTAACCCTGATGCCTAGGTGTCCAGAATAAACGACTGTATATATTAAGCCGCCTCAGGAAGACTCTGTTATCAAGGAACAATTTGTGCAAGTTGAAACATCCCAGTCTCCCGATTTCGAGGAAGGTACAATAGAAAACTTTGGGGAAATGACACAAAAACCCCGAAATCTGGAGACTGGGATGTCATTGGATGCAATAACCCTTGCTTAAATCCAAAAGTGAAAACCCCGCTACTTACGCGGCGGTCTTTGTCTAGCCAGAAAGTACTTTATGTACTAGGGGAGCATGCGGAGTTATGTAAGCGAAGGCTGGAAAAGTGAAGAACACGAGGTGAGTCAACGACCCAGTAAGTGTACACAATGCACTCATACCTATTGACATAACTAATCGACAACAGACAGAAATAACACAATCTTCAGACAAGGACAATCTTGGAATCGACACTAGAAACATATATATCAACAGCCTGCGCTTACAGTTCTATTGTAGACGTAGCGCTTCTTTCGAAGTTACGCTGTATGAATTCAAATTTCAGATTTACCCAAGGATGATAAAATATCTGTGTTCACTCGACTCTAATATGTTTCCGCTAATGACTATTCTTCTTGTGAACAAATCAACTGAAGGTGCAGACATCACTTCATTCAGTTGTAGCTTCAGATTTGTGGACGGAAATAAGGAACAATTCGTTTGTTGGGGTACGTGACTGAGATGTAGGAGAGAGATCTTAGTCACTAGAAAGCATTACTGTATTTTTGCCCAGAAAAACCCTGTAGCTGTAAATAATTCCTCAAAATCAATAGCTTTCTAAGTGTTCGACATTGGATGCTGACCACGTTGCTCAAGTGGACTTGTTTAACTGAAGGCTTTCGGTCATGCATCCGTACCAGATCACGTTGCAATTTGGCGTGGGACACAGCTCCTACGTTTCCATAGTTAGCTAATAACGAACGCCTCTCGATATACTGGTAACGTATCAAATATATCTATCCTACCTCTTCTCGTCTGACTTCTGATTTCCTTTGACCGGGAACGATCGAATATAGAAGGTACTACTGGTTGCTAGTTGTATAACTAGAATATCCGTCGTATCTTCAGTGGTGAGCCTAACGTGATCTGGTACACCAAGCCAATAAACTGTCAGTCCGTTCCTTTTTGGAATATTATTATTCATTGTTATTCTTTATTTGAATTTTATATATTGTGATATACTTTTTTCGCGAGTTTTTCCCGGATATATTTTGATTAGACATTTTTCGTTCATTATATTACTATGACGGAACACTAACATAAGGTTTTAAAGTTAAAGCCTATTCCCCCTATTTCGATTCAGTTAACGCCATTTTGGCCCGACAATATCGAGTCCTGGTTCTGCTACGCAGAAGCTGGTTTTTGCATGCACGGAATCACGGACTCGCGCACACGATTCCTCGCGGTAGTTAAGGCATTACCGCGCGAATTTAACAGGTACGCAACACCTACTATGTTTACTAGTGATGTTCCGGAACCTTACGAAATTCTCAAACAATCGATTTTAAAACGCGGAGATCTAACTGATTGACAACGGTTAGACCAACTCCTTAACAATATCGACCTCCAACATGGTTCTGCGACAGACATGTTGCTAAGGATGAGAGAGGTTATCGGCCAACGAACTTTCGATGATAGCTTATTCAGACAACTTTTCTTGCCTAAACTCCCTCAACAGGTGCAGGCAGTGCTCGTCTCGTTTCAAAACAACGCCATCGACGAGCTGCTGCATCTGCCAACTGCATCTTAGAAATCACAAAATCATCTAAGGCCGAGGTCTTTTCAGTCAAAGAAAAACCTCAAACGACCCCGAATGACATAGCTGAACTATGTCACACGCTTACACGATATCTTAGAGTTCGCAATGACCGTAGTCGGTCAAAAACCCCGCGTAGAAGTGTCTCATGTAGGCGATCTGTCTCTCGTGGTCGAGAGTCAGATAATCCCGACTGGTGCTGGTATCATAACCAGTACGCTAAGTCTTCCAGAAATTGCAGAAAACCCTGCAATTATCCGACCTCAAAATCGAATGACACGAAAAACAGTTCGGGAAACTTCCCAGTCGGCACGCGTTAACGGCAACCGTAGCCGGCGAACACAGCCGCCTCCTATATGTCACGGATGTGACTACGAAAGTTCGCTACCTCGTCGACACCGGCGCAGAAGTTAGCGTTCTTCCAGCGAATCCCAACGACAGACTTCGCGAGTCTGTTTTTAAGTTTACAGGCGGCAAACGTAAAAGGTACGTCTACCTTAACGTGGGTTTACGCAAACCCATGCACTGGATTTTCGTGGTTGCAGACGTCTCCATGCCAATCATTGGTATAGACCTGTTACAATACCACAATCTACTAATCGACACTCGCTCACGAATGTTAATAGACGGAAACACTAAGTTATCCATTTGCGTAACTCCTTGTTCTGGTTGCAGGTTATCCCCAGTCACGATTAGGCACAATATAGACCCCTGTATCAATCATTACTGGACAAATACTCAGGGATATATCAACCGCAATCGAAATCGCCTTGTGTAACCAGCAATGTTACACATCACATCTCGACTACAGGACCACCTGTATTCTCGAAAGCCCGAAGACTCGCTCCCGAAAAGCTTAGGTTAGCTAAAAACGAATTCGACCATATGATAGACTTAGGGATAATTCGACCATCAAATAGTCCATGGTCATCCCCATTGCACATGGTCCCTAAAAAGAACAGCAACGATTGGCGGCCAACTGCTGATTATCGTCGTCTGAAAGCTAAAACCATTCCAGATCGTTACCCGTTGCCTCATATTCACGATTTGACAGCTATCTTGAAAGGTACAACTGTCTTTTCGAAAATCGACTTGGTTAAGGCTTATAACCAAATACCGATGACACCTGACGACGTTCCTACGACAGCCATCATCACTCCTTTCGGTCTTTACGAATTCTTGCGAATGCCTTTTGGTTTAAGGAATGCGGCTCAAACCTTCCAAAGGTTTATAGACGACGTCTTCCGAGGTCTCAACTTCGCACATGCGTATGTTGATGACTGTCTAATAGCAAGTCCAGACAGAGAATCACATCTCCAGCATCTGGACATTGTTTTCGATCGACTCCAAAGGCATGGCATTACTGTCAACATTCAGAAATGCCGAATCGGAACCAACTTCTTAGACTTCTTAGGACACACTATTGATGCTCAAGGCATCCAACCCCTTAGAAGCAAAGTGGCGGCCATTCTGGATTACCCAGAACCGACCACGGTCAAGCAGTTGCGAACTTTTAACGGACCTGTAAGTTTCTACAGACGGTTCATACCCAAATGCGCATCCCTTATGAAACCGTTAACCGATCAGCTCCTTGGAAATGCAAAATCAATTAGTTTAGACGACACAGCCCGTAAAGCATTCTCCACAGTTAAGGAACACATCGCTAGGGCAACCCTGCTTGGTCATCAGGACACTCAAGCGCCCATTAGTATCGCCGTAGATGCATCCGACTCAGCAATCGGAGGAGTCTTACAACAATGTGTTAACAACTCGTAGCAACCTTTAAGAATTTTCTCGAGATGGTTGCTAGACGCGGAATCTAGGTACAGCACGTTCGGTAGGGAACTCCTAGCTATGTATTGTGCTGTACGGCATTTCCAACAGGCTTATAATGAGACGAACATAAATATGAATAGTTAAGTTACTTACAAAATTACACAATACTAAATAGAAGTATCGTATTGGTGCATAAACAGTCCTCAAAAGTTACCATTCATAATTCCATCTGGGATACAACACAAAGACGTCAAGTAATGAAAGTGAAACATAAGTAAACACCCTAGTAACTTACAACAGTTGACCACGCTTCAGAAATCAAAAACAGTTTCGTAATAATAATTGAGGATAAACCAAGCAAATTAATGATAAATATTGATATAACGGATGATTTGAAATATTTTTTTTACCTCTCCGAGTTATACTGCAATAATACGTTAATTCGACAGTGAAACTAGTACTAATAACGCTGGATCGTGTGCAGTAATGGTACACAATACAGTATTGTGCATCATTGTGTGGACAATTTCACCGGGAACTGTAAAGATTCACCAGTTTGATAAACCTTTTAGTGTACTCTTGGAGTGCTACGAAGTAGGAACGTAGGTTCAGAACTTCCCCACCCCCATTCCTGTTTCTGTCTTAGCAAAGCAAAATATACTGGGTATTTTCGGCTCCTCGTCCGCGGTTTTAAGAGATCCCCATGTTTCAGATATTTCTGTCAGATTAGTATTATTTACGTTACTTAATTCATGCAAACCATCCGTTTTGTTCAGTAAACTTTCAGCGTTTGTGTTCAAGCAGCTGGTGCTTCAAAATTGGGACTTATGCGTGTTGTTATCATGTCTGTCTGAATAAGCCTGATATAGATGAACACGGAACCTTCCGGAACAGGGCTTTGCGAGTGAAGGTTCCTGCACGCTCCGTCTTTTTCTCGTTTTCAATATTCCACTGATTGAATAGCCAGCTCAAATTCATTTGACGCAGTATTGTATCACTGTGCTTTTTGACATGTGCTTGTCCGGTAAACATATTCTCAGACCTATTTGACCTCATTATGGACTTCCGCTCTTCGATTTCATTGACTGCATCATTATTGTCTGTATCTCTGGGACCGCCTTGCACATTATATATTGCTTTGAGAAAGAACGCCTCTCGAGTTTCTTTTGCAATGCCTCTGATAGGATTGAGCTGCACATATTGCATATCAGGCAGTATTTTCATACACTCTCGGGTTTCAGTTAGTGAATGGCCAGGAAAACGTCATCCACATCAGAAGCCTGGGTAAACGTTACACGAAAGAGCATTAGATGACTTTGGTGTGCTATGCCCTTTTCCTCGTGTAGATCACATGGTTGTCAGTGGTTTAATATTTGGGTTTGATGATGATTGAGCAATCGTCAGGAATCCTGATCAGTTTCCAGGATCCTTGGATACGTTAAGGTCTGGGTCGTCTTTGCGATCGTTAGATTGCAGTCCTGGCTCTCGCATTTTTTATTATTTGGTTTGACAAACCTAAGAGTAAACTGTATGGCCGGTGCATTAGCTCAGTCCTTCTTAAGAGCTTTATTGGGTAAGAATACAGTAAATGTTTGGAGAATGCAAATCATGTCAAGATAATACCGTAGTTGTTTCCATCTAGTCAGAAAGCACTTTGCGTATTAGGAGAGCATGCAGAATAACGTGAGCAAGAGCTGTAAAAGAGGCTGTAAAAAAAGTAAGCCGATGACTCGGCAACCCCACATAATGAACCTAGATTTTATCGCAGGACCAACTGAAAATAAACAAAAATAACAGAAGTCTCAGATCCAAACAACCTAGGAATTGACACTAGAAACAGACAAATCAAAACCCTACAACGGACAAGTGACTTACTTTTAACACTTTAAAGTGTAATATAGTCCATTTGAGACATGTTGCAGACTACAGTTACAACACCTCTCTAGAAGTATCTCTAGTTGAAAAAAATTAATAAGTGCTGGTACCCTACGATTTGAAGTCTTACACTAACTGTGACAAAAATATCTTTCGAACAAACCTTGAAATGATAAAATTGGAGCGCATTTTTGGCCAGTTCGAAGACAGAACTTTCCACAATCTTCTTAATCAGATTTTAATTACTTTTAATATTTCAAATGTCACATGTGTTCTATTCATGATGTTTATGATCAAATAAAAAAAACGATTGCGTTTTTTTCATATTGAATTAGTATTATTAGGAATTATAGATAGATAAACATTTATTGAATCCTATTTCGAAGTTGCCCACATTCATAATATTCGGTATTTGCTCTTCGCATTGCATACAGCAATTGGTTGATGATTATTGATTGGTGATCAATGATATGTTTGTATAGTCCTTAGTGTTGATCGAATTTTAGCGATAGAGCTGTAATATGTTATTTATTTAAACACATACATATTGGTACAAGGGGGCACCAGATATATATGCGCCACACAAATCTCATTTGATTTGTGTGAGGGCTGTGATACCGCCCAGGTGCCTAAACCTAAGCAGGTGGTTTTCTTAGGGAGCCACACCCCGAGCCCTTGACCTAAAGGTCTGACCCAAAAGGTGGTGGAGCATCGTGAGGAGATGCAGTCCCATGGTAGCCGGTGACCAACGATTGATTCATATGCTATTTGTTCCCTCAGGATACTGGAGCCCATGTGCACCATTGGTTTGAAATTAGGGTTTGCCAACTTCCCTAGGTGAACGTTCCGTGTCCACCAACCCGGTTGAAGCGCTGGATATTCGCTTTTCGTTCTCTCAATTTTTTGAACAACACCACCGCCACGAGAAGGCAGTGAGTAGGACTTCCTTGACAGAGGTTGCATACGCGTGGTCATGTGAGTGCATTTGGAGAGGGAGAGCGGATTCTCCACACTCTTGGCCTTACCAATGCATTTGTGGGCAGCTGTAATATGGCTACTGGTAATTTGATATGATGTGAATTATGCGAGTTAGCATTATCTTCTGTTATTAGACTTTGTTTAGACATTGCTGTGATGTGTGCTTCTGCCTCATCCTTTTAGATCAATTGTGTCCATTTTTTAAACATGAACTAGGTTTGTATCCTCAATAACATTACATTATACCTTTTTATGTATACGATTTTTGGGAAATAGTGTTTTTAAATACTAAATAACAAGCATTTAATATAAGGAAGAATATAAGCAATAATGGTGTTATTTTCTTTAAATTCTAAACCTTGATATATGGAAGACTCAATCTTTATAGCCATGGGTTTAGGTTTACTGCCACTATATTGTGTGTGGATTATTGTACTAACTTATTTCGGACATTAGTACACTGTAGACGTCGTCAACTGCTGCTGTTTACTTATTTTTATACGACTGTTATCGACCGACCGTTGCTGCTACCTTGACGTGGTGGTCGGACTTGCCCATCGTGATGAACCAATCTAGCCATACTAGCTGGAACAATCGTTCCTCAAGGTCCTACCATGCCAGACAGGTCGGTTGAAGAGCGGTAAGACTACAAGCAGAAAAACCAAGGTCCGAAGGCGAAGTCGTACTGCTGACTGTGCAGAGGTGTGACAGCAGTAAGGTGTTTCCTTCAGACAACCAGCATGACAGCGATGCTGCCTTCCCACAAGGAGGGGTGGGGTTAGAAAAGGTCGACCCTAAAAATGCACACCTCGACTTATCCCATGGATTTCCGTCTCCAGCGATAAGGTCCTTTAAAGAACGGAGCTAACACAAAAACTACCCACAAAAAGGTCGTGTGTGACCGACCTCAAGCAGTTGTCCCTTGGGCACTGCGATCACGCCCTCAGGTCATTAAGACCACTTCTAACCCAATTTCCTTTTCAGGTACCTCTAGAAGAACCCTTCCACGGTGTGAGCAACCGGAAAGTGATAACTGCCCTCATACCTCTAACAGCACTCAAGACCACTGTATTCATAATCAATCTTCTTCTTCAATTCCTACTATTCCTTCTACCTTGACTTTCAACACTAAACTTCCTGTTCCGGTTTCCTCCTCAAGTGTCACCATGACCAACGATTCTAGTGCGCGAAACGCCGTCCCAGGTCTACTAAAACCTCGCTCCAAACTACACATTGGAGCCTTCAACGTACGCACCCTATGTCAAATCGGTCAACAGGCCTCCTTGACTAAGACCCTAGAATCTCGTACCACCGATATATGCTGTGTCTCCGAAACACGCATACAGGATCTTAGTGTGGCCATTCACTTGACCTCACCTCGTCAAAATGGACAGCCAACGAAATAACAATCCGTGTATCTTGCGCCCCCATGACTAGTTCTCGCGGACTTGCAGGTGTAGGCATAGCACTAAGTACAAGGGCAGAACAGGCACTACTAGAATGGATCCCCGTTAACAGTCGCCTGTGTGCTGTCCGGCTAAATGGCTCCGTAAGAACTCGGAAGGATAGAGATACACGTCGTTGCCTTTTCGTCGTTTCTGCCTACACTCCCACTGACTGCAGCCATGATGAAGTGAAAGATGACTTTTACAGAAAGCTCTCTGAGCTTTTTCAGAAAGCTAAGCGCTCAGACATAGTGGTCGTAGCGGGTGACTTTAGTGCCCAAGTAGGCAGCTTGACTCAAACAGAAAGACATTTAAGTGGGTGTTTTAGTATTCCGGCTCAACGAACCGATAATGGTGATCGTCTGTTGCAACTATGCTCAGACAATCGTTTATTTTTAGCAAACACTAACTTTAAACATAAGGAGAGACATCGCCTAAAATGGCAACCACCTGCACCAAACCAACGATGAACTCAAATAGACCATATTGCTATCAGTCATCGTTGGAGAGGCTCGATAGAAGGTTGTCACTCGTATTGGAATACTTGTTTAGACTCTGATCACGCTTTAATACGACCACGCATTCGTTTGCGCCTCATTGAACGCAGAAAAACCATACAACGAAGACCCATCAGAATTGAACTGAGTGATGAGAAAGTCAAAAGTAAGTTCCAGGAACAACTGAAATCACATCTAGGCAGTTTTGTAAACGAGGTTGATTCAGATGTTGCTTGGAAAGACACACGAACAGCTTTGGAAACAGCAGCAACATATGTTAGTAATTTAAACCACAGGGTTCCAAAAAACCTATGGTTTTCTTTCAAGTCTATTTCACTGATGGATTCGCGTGAATTCATCCCATCAGGCTCTGAACATGACAAAGAGTGTAAACAAATTAGATCTAGGTTAACTGAAAGTCCAAGGAACGATCGTGAGCAGTGGTGGGCAACGAAAGCAAAAGAGATGGAAAAGGCAGCGGCTGTAGGCAACACCAAGCAACTATTCATACTAATAAAAGAAACCGGAATTAATAAGTCAAGTGTGAGTGAAACGATCTCGGAAAAAGACGAAACGCTTATCTGCTCTCAGCACAGACGTTTAGAACGATAGGCGGAACACTTTAAGGAGCAGTTCAGCTGGCCATCAGCTACTGCACAACTACCCACTATTCCCAGACAGTGTGAATGGAACATTGAAGTAGGTTCCCCGACCCTACCTGAAGTTCAAAAGGCCATAAGTAATCTGAAACGAGGAATAGCAGCTGGTCCACTCGTCAGCGACTTCATGGAGTTGGACGTAATCCCATCTGACTGGTCAAAATCACTGGTTGTCCCAATATATAAGAAGGGATCCAAATCAACCTGTTATAACCATAGAGGGATTAGTCTGACTAACATAGCATCTAAAATACCAGCCTCAACAATTATCGGGCGCCTACCTAATACTTGTGAACTGCAAACACGAGAAAATCAGGCTGGCTTCAGACCTGGTCGTGGCTGTATCGACCACATATTCACCATTCGTCAAGTTTTAGAGCACAGACATGCTTATCGGCGTCCGACAATGATAGTTTTTTTTGACTTAAAAGCAGCATTTGACTCTGTAAACCGAGAGGTTCTGTGGCAGTGTCTGTCATTGAAAGGTGTACCTGAGAAGTACATAAACCTTGTGAAGGTTCTTTACTCGAACACTATCAGTCGAGTGAGAGCTTATGGCGAACTGTCATCTGATTTTACAACCTCAAATGGTGTCCGTCAAGGCTGTCCACTATCCCCATTTTTGTTTAACTTCATTATAGACCTGTTGCTGGAAACAACACTCTCATCGACTGAATTTTCAGGAATTGATCTTCTACCAGGAGGTTCACTTATCGACTTAGAATACGCAGATGACATAGTCCTGTTTGGTGAAGACACTGACAAAATGCAGAGTCTTCTGTTGGAACTCAGTAATAATGCCAGGATGTTTGGGATGCGTTTCTCCCCATCCAAATGTAAATTGTTACTCCAGGACTGGCCTGCATCAACACCTGAACTAAGGTTAGGGAGTGAAGTAGTCGAACGCGTGAACAACTTCACTTATCTTGGAAGTCTGATCAGTCCTAATGGGTTGGTGTCTGACGAAATCTCAGCACGGATTCAGAAAGCTCGTTTGGCTTTTGCCAACTTACGTCACCTATGGTGAAGACAAGATATCCGTCTATCAATTAAGGGACGAGTATACTCCGCCTGTAGCTCCTCTGTGGGTTACTGCCGGTCCCAAGCCCGGGTAAAGGAGGAGGGTTGGGCATGGGGTTAGCGACCCCATCCCGTAGAAAATCAACTCGCTAAAAAAACGCTAACCAGAAAAAATCATTCAAACCATTCAAACTCTGCCCTGGGGGTTGAAGGAATAATTATGACGTCTCATGATGAAAGCCGAGTTCGTTCGGAAGTCATGAGGCCAATGCATCTTCTTACAACCAGAGCAACAATTTTTATAGGTACATGGAATGTCCAGACAATGTGGGAGACCGGCAGAGTCTTCCAAATTGCTGCAGAAATGAGAAAATACAACCTGGAGGTGCTTGGAATCAGTAAAACACATTGGACGCAGGTTGGACAACAACGACTGTCTTCAGGGGAACTTCTGTTATACTCCGGTCATGAAGAAGAAAATGCCCCACATACACAAGGAGTTGCATTGATGCTGTCCAGAAAAGCACAAAATGCACTTATAGGATGGGAATCTCATGGACCGAGGATCATCAAAGCCTCCTTCAGAACAAAGAGAGAGGGCATTACAATGAACGTCATTCAATGCTATGCGCCTACCAACGAATACGATGAAGACGCTAAAGACCAATTCTACGATAGGCTGCAGTCAATCTTCGAGAAGTGCCCAACCAAGGACCTGACAATTCTGATGGGAGATCTCAATGCTAAGGTTGGAATGGACAACACTGGATACGAAGACGTCATGGGACAACATGGACTGGGAAGAAGGAACGAAAATGGTGCCTTCAATAAACTGGTCATAGGTGGCACCATATTCCCACACAAAAACATACACAAAGACACTTGGATTTCACCGGATCACACTACACAAAATCAAATCGACCATATCTGCATCAATAAAAAGTTCAGGAGGACGATGGAGGATGTGAGAACCAGAAGAGGAGCTGATATAGCATCCGATCATCATTTGCTGATCGCCAAGATGAAACTAAAACTCAAGAAGCACTGGACAACGGCGCGGACAACATCACAAAAGTTTAACACGGCCTTTCTTCGAAATTCTGACAAACTCAACAAATTCAACATAGCCCTCAGCAACAGGTTCGAGGCCTTTCATGATCTACTCAATGGAGAGGGAACTACCATGGAGGGCAACTGGAAAGGTATCAAGGAGGCAATCGTTTCAACGTGTCAAGAGGTTCTGGGCCAAAAGAAGCACCATCACAAGGAATGGATCACTGTTGGTACACTGGATAACATTGAAGAAAGAAGGAACAAGAAAGCACCAATCAATACCAGTCGAACAAGAGCAGAAAAAGCCAGGGCACAAGCAGAATACACAGAAGCAAACAAGCAAGTGAAGAGGAGCATCAGAACCGACAAACGTAAATATGTTGAAGATTTAGCAACGACAGCGGAAACGGCTGCAAGAGAGGGAAACATGAGACAATTGTATGATACAACAAAGAAACTCTCTGGAAATAACCGTAAGCCAGAAAGACCAGTGAAAAACAAGGAAGGCAAAGTAATCACCGACATTGAAGAACAACGAAACAGGTGGGTAGAACACTTCAAAGAACTCTTGAATCGACCAGCCCCACTGAACCCACCCAACATCGAAGCAGCACCCACAGACCTCCCAATCGATATTGGCCCACCAACAATTGAAGAGATCAGCATGGCCATTAGACAAGTCAAGAGTGGCAAAGCAGCGGGACCAGACAACATCCCGGCAGAGGCACTGAAAGCAAATGTAACAGCAACTGCCAAGATACTCCACATCCTCTTCAGTAAGATTTGGGACGAAGAACAAGTACCAACAGACTGGAAAGAAGGACTTCTCATCAAGATACCAAAGAAAGGCGATCTGAGCAAGTGCGACAACTACAGGGGCATCACTCTTCTCTCAATACCAGGAACAGTCTTCAACAGAGTATTGTTAAACAGGATGAAGGATTCCGTGGACGCCCGACTTCGAGATCAACAAGCTGGATTTCGTAAGGATAGATCGTGCACAGATCAAATCGCAACTCTGCGGATCACTGTGGAACAATCAATCGAATGAAATTCATCACTCTACATCAACTTCATCGACTACGAGAAGGCATTTGATAGCGTGAACAGGACGACACTATGGAGGCTTCTTCGACACTACGGCGTGCCTGAGAAGATAGTCAACATCATACGGAACTCCTATGATGGACTAAACTGCCAAATCGTCCACGGAGGACAACTCACCGACTCGTTCGAGGTAAAGACCGGTGTTAGGTAAGGTTGCTTACTCTCACCCTTTCTCTTTCTCCTGGTCATCGACTGGATTATGAAGACGTCAACATCTGGAGGAATGCACGGGATACAGTGGACAGGCAGGATGCAGCTTGACGATTTAGACTTCGCGGATGATCTGGCTCTTCTATCACAAACGCAGCAACAAATGCAGGAGAAAACGACCAGTGTAGCAGCAGCCTCAGCAGCAGTAGGTCTCAATATAAACAAAGGGAAAAGCAAGACTCTCCGATACAATACAATATGCACCAATCAAATTACACTTGACGGAGAAGCTTTGGAAGATGTGGAAACCTTTACATATCTGGGCAGCATCATTGATGAACACGGTGGATCAGATGAAGATGTGAGGGCGCGGATCGGCAGAGCGAGAGCAGCATACCTACAACTGAAAAGCATCTGGAGCTCAAAACAATTGTCAACCAACACCACGGTTAGAATTTTCAGTACAAATGTGAAGACAGTTCTTCTGTATGGGGCGGAGACGTGGAGAACTACGAAAGCCATTATCCAGAAGATACAAGTGTTCATCAACAGCTGTCTACGCAAGATACTTCGGATCCGATGGCCAGACACTATCAGCAATAAGTTACTGTGGGAGAGAACAAACCAGATTCCAGCAGAGGAAGAAATCAGGAGGAAGCGCTGGAAGTGGATTGGGCACACCTTGAGGAAATCAGCTAATTGCGTCACAAGACAAGCCCTCACATGGAATCCTGAAGGTCAACGGAGAAGAGGAAGACCAAAGAACACATTACGCCGAGAAATAGAGACAGACATGAGAAGAATGAACAAGAACTGGATAGAACTAGAAAAGGAAGCCCAGGACAGAATGGGTCGGAGAAAGCTGGTCGGCGGCCTATGCTCCATTGGGAGTAACAGGCTTATGTAAGTAAGTAAGTAAGTAATACTGCGCAGCAGTTCGCTCTGTTCTACTTTACGGCTGCGAAACATGGCCATTAAGAGTAGAAGATACTCGTAGGTTACTAGTATTTGACCACAGATGCCTTAGAAATATTGCTCGCATCTGCTGGGATAACCGGGTAAGTAATAGTGAGGTTAGACGCAGGGTATTAGGGAATGATGGTAAGTCAGTTGATGAGGTGATGAATCTTCATCGACTGAGATGGTTGGGCCACGTGTTACGTATGCCTGAACATCGATTACCACGACGCGCAATGTTGTCTAGTGTAGGGGTTGGTTGGAAGAGAGTCAGGGGCTGCCGAACCAAAACATGGCATCAGTGCTTGAAGTCACTAACTTCTAGTCTGAGCCATATTGGTAGATGCAGACTACCTGGTTGGGGTCCGCGTGACTATCGTAACCAATGGTTGGAGACTGTGGGTGACATGGCTGAGAATCGACCACAATGGCGTGGGTGTATACACTCTTTATCTTCCCTTGAACCTTGAGATTAAAATTGCTTCATAACTTTTTTCCTTCCCATACTATATCCTTATATACAACCTTTCTTTATATACTACCACCACTAAATTAATTATTTCTATGAACCCGGTGTTGATCTTGTTGTGCTAACGAGGTATGGGAACTTGAACCAATGCATATATGTGCCTGGTCTTACGTTGTAGCTGACTGACTGACACAATCTTCAACAGTCTCATTCGTCCACAATTTAGAGTACGGAAACATAGTATTTCCTTTCTCACTTACAAAGGATAAGGACACTCTGGAACGTATCCAACGGCGAGCCACGAAATCAGTTCGGGGACTGGAATTCAAGCCTTATGAAAAGCGGCTCCAATCAATAAATCTTTACCCATTAGAATACAGGCGTCTTAGAGGTGACCTTCTAATGGTTTTTAGCATCCTCAACACTTCCGGACACCCCCTTAAGCTTAGCTCCAACACAAATTTAAGCGGTAAAACTCAGAAACTGGGGACATAAAACAGCAGAACTTACTGTGGACACAATTTCTTTTTCTTAAGAGTAGTTAATTGCTGTAATTTACTGCCAGTTGAGCTAGTCCAAGCGACTTTCCTGGAGTCTTTTAAGAGAAAATTTGACAGTGGTCTATCGGCTAAGTGTACTGGCGCGAGACTGGTAGATCCTGGGTTCGAATCTTGCGAGACGGGATCGTGGATACGCACTGCCGAGAAGTCCCACAATAGGACGAAACGGCCATCCAGTGCTTCTAGGTTTTCGATGGTGGTCTAGCTTCAATTGACTCATGATTTCAACTATGAAAACTTGACATATTCTTAAGGACTAAGGATAGCATCTTAATATTATTTGCCGATTTCTTCTTCCTCTTCTATTGATAACATGCCTAGGTTCCTGCCTGGAGGTATTAGTGATCCACTGCTACTAGATACAGAAACCCGTCAAGTGAAAGCTTTTTCTATTTTCAGTTTCAGTTTCAGTTTCGAAAGGACAGGAGGCTTGATGGCCTGTGTTAGTCCTGGCAATGATGGTCTCTCAGCTGATCCAACTTTCTTTTGAGGGAGTCGACGGATGGAGCCTCAACCACGTGCTGAGGTAATGAATTCCACTCGTTGATTATTCGATGGGAAAGTCGGTAGTCAGCTGACAAGTAATTCGTTCTGGGCTTGTGAACTTTTTTGGAGTGTCCTCGTAGATTTTCTGTTTTGGAAGACAAGAAAAATGAGGGCATATCAGGTGCAAATTTGTCATTAAGCAATTTGAAAACTATAATCAAGTCACCTCTGATTCTTCTATATGACAGCGGGAATAGGTTTAGCTTGGTCAGTCTAGTACCATACGGGAGCTTCGCTATTCCTGGAATCAGCCTAGTTGCTGTTCTCTGAACCCTTTCCAAGAGTTCACTGTCTTTCTTTAGGCAGGGGTTAGCTGCTTGTATACAGTACTCAAGTTTAGGGCGTACGAACACTGTATACAAAGTCAAAAACGTTTTAGCGTCAAGATGCCTAAAAGCCCTACGTATGGACCATAAAGTCCTAAAACCTTTGGCGGCTATTGCACGGCAGTGTGCAGTAGTCTTTAAGTCTTGACTGACGATGACGCCTAAGTCGTTGTGTGCCTGAACAATAGGTAACTCAGTGTTATTCATCGTGTATGTATCTGTACCCTGATGGCCAATATGCATCACAATACACTTGGAAGTGTTTATCGGCAATTGCCAGGTTTGGGACCATTCAGATAATCTCTCCAGGTCATTTTGAAGTTCTAAGCTATCGCCCTTGCTTTGTATCGCTCTCCACATCTTGACATCATCAGCATAGAGCAAGACCGATGATGATAGTAGACGAGGGAGATCATTTACGTACAGGAGGAATAACACTTGCCCCAAAACTGTACCTTGGGGGACTCCACTAAGCACAGTTTCCCAGCTAGACAACTTGGAGTTCACCCTTACTCTTTGTTGACGCCCAACTAGGAAGTCTTTTATCCACATCAATAGATTGCCTCCAATCCCGACGTTCCTTAGCTTATATAACAGACGGTTATGCGGAACTTTGTCGAAAGCTTTGCTGACATCGATGTAAGCTACGTCTATAGGTAATCTTTGTCCTTAAGAGCGCACCAGCTTTCACGAGCGACTAATAAGTTTGTGAGACAAGAGTAACCTGTTCTAAAACCATGCTGCTTTTCGGAGAGGATCCGGTTTTCATCGAGATACTTTAACAGTTCCTTCCGAATAATCTTTTCTAAGATTTTAACAACCACACTAGTTAGGCTAATTGGTCGGTAATTCTCAGGCTTATGTTTTGTACCTGTTTTGAAGACTGGACTTACTATGGCGTTCTTCCAGTCTTTTGGTAGACGACCCTGGGTTACGGATAGATTAAAACATACACTTAAGGGGTTCGCAACAAAGTTAGCTAATTCCTTTAGTAACCTAGGATGCAGTTCATCGGGTCCAGTGGATTTACCTATGTCAAGCTTAACTAGCAGACCAAGGACATCGAGTTCTTTAATGGTTACGCTGTCCAGTACTTGTGTGGGTGGATTTTCATGGACTGGTGAGAAGGGTGTTTCTATGGTGTATACATCGCCAAAGTATTTAGAGAATACTTGAGCTTTGCCAAAGTCATCCTCCACTAGTGATGTGGCAGTACTGTCTCCCCATAGTGAAGGAACATTTCTTCTTCATTTTGTCCTTTGGTTTATATACGAATACAAGCGTTTAGGGCATTCTATGGATTCCCTAACGATTTTCTCTTCGTACAGCTTTCTGGCCTTACGGAGGGTTGAGGCACAGGTATTTCGAGCCTTTTGATACTGAGATTTTGCCTCGTCAGTCCCCAGTAACCTAAATCTGTCCCACATTTTCCTTCTTTTACGGAGAAGGATGCGAACCTCCCTACTGAACCACGGTGGGGAGTTTCTCGGTCTCTTAGGTGTAGTCCAAGGGATGTGGGGGGTGGTAACTTTTGAGTATAAATTCCGGAATATGTCCCAAGCCGTTTCGATTGATGACTCTGGGTCTAAGTTCCAATCTACTAATGATGCTGATTTCATGATGTCTGCTATGTTTGCTTTCCAGACGTTAGGTCTGGATTGAGCTGAAGCGTACTCGTGATCGACAGTTATATGGAAGTCAAAGCTTAAAACTGCATGATCACTTTTGCCTAGGGGTGGCATGTAATCCAGGTTTGCAACATCATCCTCATAATGAGTCAATATAAGATCTAGTAAGGATGATGCAGAACCCGGATCGTACCTAGTTGCTTCCTTCACGTGTTGCACTAGAGCACATGTGATTACCTCATCAACTAGTTCCTGTTCGAAGGAGTTTGCTGACGATTCAGTCCGCAGATTTTCTATTTTGTTCACAATTATTTGAACCTTTTGAACTTCTCGTTCCTGAAGCGCGCATGAAGTAGGAAAGATAGCAAAAATTTTATATTGTGTTCAACTTGTAACGCTAAAACTAAGTGCTACCTGGCTGGAACTCTTCCTGCCATTTTATCAGATGTTGGACATTGCACAGTTGTTTTATCTAGTTGACTAGGTGACCCAGGGCTATGGTCGATGCGTAGCCTTACGTTTCCCTGGTTATTGGACTTTTGGTTGTACAGTCGGTCGAGGTATTAGGTAAAGTATTTTTAAGTTCCACTTAATGGCTTCACATAGGAGGTTTTATAGTATGAGGCGTGGGGAAGGACCGAAGGTGGAACTACGGTTCCTAATATCGACCAAAGTATGTCCACTTCTAACATTTTCAACTCATTAAAGGCAGCGGGTGTAATAATAGGGAAAGGGGGTGAAAATATTAAAAAAATTCGCGAGGAGGTAATTGTTTACTTATATATTGTTCACCCTTCGCCCCTTCTAACTTTCTAAGTCCTAACGTGTTAGTGTATTTTCTCTTTTATTTCTTCTGGTTTTGCCCCACTCTTGGCCCGCCCGAATACCAATGTGTCCAAACCAATGGTTCGTAACCCACCCTACCCTGCCCCGTATTGCCCATCTGCTTTTCGCACCACTCACTAATCCGGTCCACTCCCGGTGGGTCATTTCTTACTCTTTTGTTTGTACTACTAGTATTCCGTTAAAGTTACCATCCCCGATAGCAACGGCCCTGAGAGGTATATTCTCTTGTCCAAAATAAACATTTCTTAACTTATTATAACCTAATGTTTCTCCATCTAAAGGGTCTTGGTTCTGGATGGCGATCTCGGCTCAGTCATCGAAATATTCAGAGAGAATCTTGAAAAGGTACGTATGGGTAGTTTCTATTTCGCAACGCTTCAGATGCAAAGTAACCGCGATGATGGAGTTGATTTACGTTTGCTTGTACATCAAAGCCAAGCTGGATGTGTTATTGGAAGGGCTGGGTATAAAATCAAAGAATTACGAGAGGTATTTCATAGCCTTTGATGTTTATCAAGAAATTTAGCAATCAGGTCTTCATACTCTCAAAGTTTATCAGATGCTGTGTCCATGCTCTACTGACAGGGTAATTCAGTTGGTTGGGGATGTGGGAAAAGTACTTGATTGTCTCCGTTCTATAGCTGAACTTCTTGAGGTAATCTTCGTCGTTACATATATTCCTCCAGGGTGCTCCACCTAAAGGCTCTCGCCAGAACTACGATGCACGAAATGCAGATGAATTTATTTCTCCTGAGTATGGAGGTTGGGGAGTAGGTAATCAAGGTCCTGGATTAAATCTAGTCCGTAGTAGGAACAATGTTGCGAATACGAGTTACCCCCATGTGAGTTATTTCTTTTACTTCACTCTCTGTTTCAGTATATCCTTTTGATTTTCTCTAGATTTGTGGATTGATGTTTTAAGAATAAAGTAATGTGCTTAAACTAAAAGTTCAAAATGAGTAGATACTAGTTTTATTTGTAGCCTAAAGTTTAACACATGTACTCGGATCCGGCTACACAATCCTCCCATACTTTGGTTTAAGGCCAACAAATACTAGTGACTGAATTCTCATTTTACTAATTTTGTTGGTTAGTTTTCCTAATTAAGTCTCCGTATCCTTAGCTAACAAATGTCAGGCGATGGTGTGTGCGATTAAAAAATGGGAGTTTTCAATAAAGCGCTTGTCAAATATGTATGACTAAGATAAATTAAGATATGAACGAGCTGTATGCAGCAGACAAGTCCTTACCACTGAGTGCACAGTTAGGTTCATATCATCTTTACAGTAGTATAATGTCCATTATTACGACCTATTTTTTCCAACTAAAACAATTAAAAATCTTGTTGTTGTATTTCTTTCGACTATCGTTCTACGGTAATGTCTCATACCCTCGCGAAAAGTACAACTCCACACCTGAGTGCATCAACTTTAGCTCAATTATCGAGTTATACTGATTTCATCATGATAGTAAAGATATTTGTGTCCCGTGAATCGAAAGATATTTAGGCTAATAAAAACTGATTCCGAAAATATGATGGTTAGTGTAATCGTGATTTTTTAAAAGCCTTTTCTGAGTATCTTACAGTCCCTAAATTTTCTTACATTTCATTAGTCTGTTAAGTTCTTAAGTGCAATTCGATTACTCGCCAATTTGAAAAACAAGTTAAAAAGTTTTTATAGTGTTTTAACATTATTATTTGTGTAGAACAATATACTCACAACTGGGATTTTCGGCGGGGGTGCTTCTGGAGCAACAGGACGCAATGGTGGACAAACGACCTCTGTTAGTCAAGCACTAGCTGGAGGTCTTCCTCACGCATCAGCAGCAGCCATGCTTGCTGCGACTGGTGGTCAGACAACTGGCGGACCCAACCCTGGTACGGCAGGAGATGCTGCTGCTGCTACAGCTGCAGCAATGGTAGCTGCGGGATTGATGAGAGGGTATGTAACTTTACGATCATTTCCATTGCTAAATTTCTCAATATTTCCAACCTATTGAAATATTTATGGCATTTCTCTATTCTGATCATTCACACACAATAACTTGCACTGCCAGAGTTTATCAGTTAACGGGTGATTATTAACTCGAGCAATGTGATTCATGGTATTGAATTTCATTGGTACCCTCCACGCCCTCGACAATAAATGGAATTAGATCATCTCCACAAAGCGTACGAAGTAGTAAAATACTCACACTCACGTTCTCAAATGGTGGTTCATTACATTCTCTTTGCACATTTCACAGTCCTTAGAGAATCTGAAGATTTCACTCAAAAATCACATCCGATCTATAAATGGAAAGTGATAATCGGCATAACATTTCTAAAAAAATCATACCATTGATCTTCCTGATTTATCATATGACTAAAAAAGCTACCAACTTCAGTACATCAAGTTTTAATATTGAGAACGTCAATAAAATTTGATCATTCAAACAAGTTTCTCAATGAATATGTCTCTGATACAACATTATTTATCTTGAAAAACTGCATATATTTCAAAAATAAGATCCATTATCGTATTAAACGTACGTCATGTGTTCACTTGGTATGTTTCGCCAATATCAAGACTCAGTAGCTAAATTGATCACGCGATTTTTTCTCAAGCGAATGGATATGAGTTCAAGTCTCGGAGAGATCATCAACTCTGGGATGAGAGCAGAGCCACCTGCGAATTCCAAAATGCTACGGAAAATGCATCCTCCATTAAACTACTAGCCACCGTAAGTTCGCGCTCAAATCTATAAAATTCCTTCACAATCTGCAACATTCCAAACCCATCACTTGAAGAAAGAACGAGAAGTAGAGATTTCTTTTATTATACTATGAAGACAGAATGAATTGTTTTACGTTGTGTGTATGTATGTGAATTTCCTAGTAATTCAACTTTGTGCAGGAAGATATTAATTTGTTTGAAGTTTTATGTTTTTGTGAATATGTGTGCATATGAGAGTGAGTTGTTTTGAACGCTTGTTCACTTGTTGTGTAATTGTGTGTACGTAGATGTTTGAGTATAGTATGTTGAATAGCCGTTCAGCTACTCCGTGTATATGTAATTCACGACGAGTCGTTTCCTGCGGCTGATATTGAACGGATGCACTGCTATGCCTCTTGTCCATCACGTGGACTTGTTTGGTACGAATGCAGACGATATGTCACTTTAGTTATTATTTGTCTTGTGCCTGCGTAAGAGACATAAATTTTTGGGCTAGTCTTGTATGTGTTGAGCGTTGATGTTGATGGTGGATTTGAGATGGATTTTCGAGAAATAGTTTTTGTGTTGGTCAATAGATCGTTGTGTTTAAAATAGCGTTTGTGTAGTGTTCGAGCGATTTTGTATCCTCCGAAAGACTTGGTAGAGAAATGCACACATTAAGTCATGCAAATTCCTAGTGTGTGTATGCGCTATGCTCTTTCCTTTCTGTACATGAATAAAAAAATAATGGAAATATATATATATATATATATATATATATATATACAGGCTTGCTTTTGTGCAAATGTGATTTGGTGATGTGTGCTAATTTAGGTTTGTTATTTGTGTGTGATGACTAGCCGTGGAGCTGTTCATCGCATTTATAATATGTGCTGAACAGTTGTTTGTGGCTGAAAGATAATTTGTCGTGTCGCACATGCAGGTTTTTTATTTCCAAACCCTGTCATCACAACCGACATACATGAAGCTGTGTCCTGACTGAGAATAGCTATGCCTTATGTGTTCGTTTCATTTTATCTAACAAAACTGTGTATGTATATACACAGTTGTACATACATATAGAGTAGATTTTGTATGTTGATGCTTTTTATATGAGTGTGTATTAGTATTGTTTGGGCTGTGTCGATTGGTTATGGCGAGTAGCCGTTCAGCTGCCCCGTGCATAGTTGATTCACGGTGGGTCGTTTCCTGCGGCTGAGATTGAATGGATGCACTGCTATACCTCTTGTCCATTACAGGTACTCGTTGGGTAGGACGTGCAGGCCACATGGGATGTTGATTCGCTAAGGTGCTTATGTCTTTCTTAGCAGTGTATTTGTATGTTTGTTTGTGATTGGCTTTGCTGTGTCTGTAGTCAGTCACATAGCTACTATACTGCATTGTTCACGTTCGTGAATGATGTCGTTAGAGTAGCTGATATTTATGCAATGTATTTGATATGTGTGCGACAAAATGTTACCAGTGTGTTGTCTGTTACATGAAACACCAGTGGTCAGTATGATTTCAGGTTTCATTGTGTACTTTGTTGTTTATGTTAGCCATGTGAGTGTGCGAACTGAGCGAAGTAGAGTTTTCTTTTATTATACTATGAAGACAGAATGAATTGTTTTACGTTGTGTGTATGTATGTGAATTTCCTAGTAATTCAACTTTGTGCAGGAAGATATTAATTTGTTTGAAGTTTTATGTTTTTGTGAATATGTGTGCATATGAGAGTGAGTTGTTTTGAACGCTTGTTCACTTGTTGTGTAATTGTGTGTACGTAGATGTTTGAGTATAGTATGTTGAATAGCCGTTCAGCTACTCCGTGTATATGTAATTCACGACGAGTCGTTTCCTGCGGCTGATATTGAACGGATGCACTGCTATGCCTCTTGTCCATCACGTGGACTTGTTTGGTACGAATGCAGACGATATGTCACTTTAGTTATTATTTGTCTTGTGCCTGCGTAAGAGACATAAATTTTTGGGCTAGTCTTGTATGTGTTGAGCGTTGATGTTGATGGTGGATTTGAGATGGATTTTCGAGAAATAGTTTTTGTGTTGGTCAATAGATCGTTGTGTTTAAAATAGCGTTTGTGTAGTGTTCGAGCGATTTTGTATCCTCCGAAAGACTTGGTAGAGAAATGCACACATTAAGTCATGCAAATTCCTAGTGTGTGTATGCGCTATGCTCTTTCCTTTCTGTACATGAATAAAAAAATAATGGAAATATATATATATATATATATATATACAGGCTTGCTTTTGTGCAAATGTGATTTGGTGATGTGTGCTAATTTAGGTTTGTTATTTGTGTGTGATGACTAGCCGTGGAGCTGTTCATCGCATTTATAATATGTGCTGAACAGTTGTTTGTGGCTGAAAGATAATTTGTCGTGTCGCACATGCAGGTTTTTTATTTCCAAACCCTGTCATCACAACCGACATACATGAAGCTGTGTCCTGACTGAGAATAGCTATGCCTTATGTGTTCGTTTCATTTTATCTAACAAAACTGTGTATGTATATACACAGTTGTACATACATATAGAGTAGATTTTGTATGTTGATGCTTTTTATATGAGTGTGTATTAGTATTGTTTGGGCTGTGTCGATTGGTTATGGCGAGTAGCCGTTCAGCTGCCCCGTGCATAGTTGATTCACGGTGGGTCGTTTCCTGCGGCTGAGATTGAATGGATGCACTGCTATACCTCTTGTCCATTACAGGTACTCGTTGGGTAGGACGTGCAGGCCACATGGGATGTTGATTCGCTAAGGTGCTTATGTCTTTCTTAGCAGTGTATTTGTATGTTTGTTTGTGATTGGCTTTGCTGTGTCTGTAGTCAGTCACATAGCTACTATACTGCATTGTTCACGTTCGTGAATGATGTCGTTAGAGTAGCTGATATTTATGCAATGTATTTGATATGTGTGCGACAAAATGTTACCAGTGTGTTGTCTGTTACATGAAACACCAGTGGTCAGTATGATTTCAGGTTTCATTGTGTACTTTGTTGTTTATGTTAGCCATGTGAGTGTGCGAACTGAGCGAAGTAGAGTTTTCTTTTATTATACTATGAAGACAGAATGAATTGTTTTACGTTGTGTGTATGTATGTGAATTTCCTAGTAATTCAACTTTGTGCAGGAAGATATTAATTTGTTTGAAGTTTTATGTTTTTGTGAATATGTGTGCATATGAGAGTGAGTTGTTTTGAACGCTTGTTCACTTGTTGTGTAATTGTGTGTACGTAGATGTTTGAGTATAGTATGTTGAATAGCCGTTCAGCTACTCCGTGTATATGTAATTCACGACGAGTCGTTTCCTGCGGCTGATATTGAACGGATGCACTGCTATGCCTCTTGTCCATCACGTGGACTTGTTTGGTACGAATGCAGACGATATGTCACTTTAGTTATTATTTGTCTTGTGCCTGCGTAAGAGACATAAATTTTTGGGCTAGTCTTGTATGTGTTGAGCGTTGATGTTGATGGTGGATTTGAGATGGATTTTCGAGAAATAGTTTTTGTGTTGGTCAATAGATCGTTGTGTTTAAAATAGCGTTTGTGTAGTGTTCGAGCGATTTTGTATCCTCCGAAAGACTTGGTAGAGAAATGCACACATTAAGTCATGCAAATTCCTAGTGTGTGTATGCGCTATGCTCTTTCCTTTCTGTACATGAATAAAAAAATAATGGAAATATATATATATATATATATATATATACAGGCTTGCTTTTGTGCAAATGTGATTTGGTGATGTGTGCTAATTTAGGTTTGTTATTTGTGTGTGATGACTAGCCGTGGAGCTGTTCATCGCATTTATAATATGTGCTGAACAGTTGTTTGTGGCTGAAAGATAATTTGTCGTGTCGCACATGCAGGTTTTTTATTTCCAAACCCTGTCATCACAACCGACATACATGAAGCTGTGTCCTGACTGAGAATAGCTATGCCTTATGTGTTCGTTTCATTTTATCTAACAAAACTGTGTATGTATATACACAGTTGTACATATATATAGAGTAGATTTTGTATGTTGATGCTTTTTATATGAGTGTGTATTAGTATTGTTTGGGCTGTGTCGATTGGTTATGGCGAGTAGCCGTTCAGCTGCCCCGTGCATAGTTGATTCACGGTGGGTCGTTTCCTGCGGCTGAGATTGAATGGATGCACTGCTATACCTCTTGTCCATTACAGGTACTCGTTGGGTAGGACGTGCAGGCCACATGGGATGTTGATTCGC